TTGAGGGTATGATTCTTCTTCGGGATAATGTTTTCTCGCCTGCATCGTTCCATGAATGCCTCATCCTCCGAGCGTATCGGCGGAAGCTACCGCAGGGCAAGTCTGTCATTTATCGCGGCCTGACTCCCACTTGTGAAGGGCGCTTCCCCTGGGCGGTGCAGCTGGTCCTCGGGCAGGTTTCCCCGCGCAGGAGCCCCAGTCGCCGAAGAGGCTGCGGCTCCTGAAGAGGAAGAAGCTACAGCTGCAGCGCCTGGCGGGTTTCCCCGCGGTGACTCTCGGCTGGCGCTGCCCCCAATCTTAGGCACCCAGGTGCCCCTAGACAGAGCACCTTCCTCGGACTTCTTGGAGCGCGCCGCCGCAGGTGCGGCCGGCGTAAGGGTAAACCCTGTACGCCTGAAGGCTTTGGCCTTGCCGGCGATATATCCGCTACGGCTAGGTGGGCGCCTCCGCATCTCCGCGGGGTCCTGAGGTTGCTGCCTGGGGTCGGGCCCCTGTGCCGGAGTTGCTCTAGTCGGTGATCTCGGCGTTTTAGAACGAGGCACCTCCATCTGCACATCTGACCCAAGATCCTCAGAGCGAGCTGTTGTTTTCGGTCTCTCCTCCGAAGGCGACCTCGGTGCTGGCGTTTCGCTCCTAGCCTTCGGTTGGAGTGGGAGTGGGGGCTTCTTCTCCCCCTTCATATAGATCTTTTGGGAGTCCATCAGCATCTGGCGAGTTGCCTCGCGGGTGCGTTCCTCTGCTATTCGTCTGCGTTCCTCATCTGCCGCAGCTCGCTGGGCCTTCTGTTCATCGTCATTCATCATTTCTGGCTGTTGGGCTTGGCTGGAAACGCCGGGCGACTTTCCTCGCATTCCAGGAAGGCGAAAGAGCGCATATTTTTCTTCCTGGCTCATAGGCACCAGTCCTCTCGGAGGCGGAGGAGGCTGAACTTCCTCGGCCTTAGGCCTCATATGAACTGTGATTCCGAGACGACGGTTGATCTCTGCGATCTCGTCTTGAGTCATCGGAATCAACGGTGGATGACCCTCCTTGGCAGGAGTGCGGCCTCTATTCGGGCTCAAACTCTCGTTGAGCCCCGCAGGGCACCCAGGCCTATGCTCCTGAAATGGCTCTGAGCACGGTCCACAAACTGCATTAGGTCTATACATTGTGCGTGCTGCAATGATATTTCGCAGCTGCGTCCGTGCTTCTTGTATTTCAGGGCGACGAATATTCGTCGCGAGCTGGTATCCACCTCGTATGGACTTGCCTTGGGCATCTCGGTGGGCTGGGTTGCCCTTTCCGAAAGCAGAATGCTCACCCTTGTGACGCCTGGGGTCATTGTAGGGAAGCAATCGACCCCCCCGCCGAGCAGCATGCTCCTTTGGGCCTGCTTGCCTCCATTCGCGAGGGGGCCGTGCTTGCGGATGAGGTTCTTCCCTGAGGCGTGGGTGAGAGCGAGACCTCCCGGTGTGCTCATCAGGTGAAGCTGTTGACGTAGCCTGAGCGGGAGCCGGCGGGGGCTCCTGCGAGATCCCAGGCGGATCATTTAGAAGGGGCAGGTTTCCCTGCTGACTGGAGCCCGGCGCAATTGGCTCCTGCGCCGGTGGTGGTGGTGCATTGGGCATGTCGGGACTAAAGTCCACCTCTTCTTCACCATTGACCTCCATCATGAGGATTGTGGTCTCGTCCTCGCACAGCCCACATCCATCACCCTCTTCATCTTCTGATGTAGGATTACCAATGACGACGGTCATCGGCCCCGTTGGGACGGGCAGGTTTCCCTGCGTAGCCGGCGTCTGAGCATCGCTTGGCTGCCCCGGCGTAGGCGGTGCGGTTGTCGGCTCAGGCTCGTTGCCGAGCACAGGCTGCCCGGCAATATTACGCATGGCCGCATGGTTGGGCCACAATCCCGCCGCCTGGAGACCCCATCCCGGCGGAGGAAGAGCCCGACCGCGCATGGCGATGGCCCTTTCAAGGGCCTGGCGCCATCTCCCTCTGGAGTACCACGCATGCCACTGCACGTCCTCAGGGTGCACGCTATCCATAAGAGTCAAGGCCGCCAGCACTAATTCCGAGTCGTCACAGGCATCAATGTCCTGTAGCATCATTTGGCCAGCTTCGATGCTCTCTTGACTCTCGGGATATGCTATGACCAATACCTCGTGCATCCTCATGAGGGTCTGCAGTAGTGTGCGCGGTCCGTACTCGCCTGGTGCAAGCGAGCCCGCCCGCCACGAACGCTTGAGACTCCATTTATATCAGATCAGCGTAGTTTAGAGGATATGTAGGGGTAGGCCTGTTTCCAGGCATGAGGTCGGGTTGAGGTTGGAGGTTGCGATCAACCTCTGAAGGCGAGGCTTGAACAGTGTCATCTTCTTCACTGCTCTCGTAGGCCATGATGTTGCCTGGATTACCGAACATCCAGTCAAGGAAGGATAAAGGCCGGTTTCCCAGCGCACCATGTTCCACAGGCGTAAGCTCATTGTTGCCGACAACGAACCTGTGGAGGTACTCGAGGTAGTACGCGTACAGTCCGTGGCCGCACGCCTCGAGCTCATCCAAATTGTCCATGCTGCTGGCCCAAGTGAAAAATATATGCCCCATGGCCTCAAAATCTTGGAGGCTCAGATATTCAATAACTGGTTCACTTGAGCCGAAATGGACTTCGGTCGATCTGCCCTTTCCATTTCCCTTCGCTTGACAATCTTTCACAATATGATCGGTACTATCACACTCATGGCACTGTAGGATCTGGCCGTCTCTACCTCGCGGGTTTCCCCGCCTACCTTTGCCTTTGCCCGAGGTATCTCTACGGCCTTTACCACGGCCTTTTTCCCCGAAAAATATCTCATCATACTGGTCATCTGAAAGTCTGAAAGCCTCTGGAGGAAGGCCGTGATGCCTCGTCCATTTAACATACGGCGACCCCGTTTGCCTTTACCTTTTCCTTCGAAGATCCTCCGTATCCTCCTCCTAACACGACGCACCGGTTTCCGTGCGAACCTACTCCACCTCCTCTTAGCCTGTTGCAATAGCCAGAACAGGTGTTCGGCACGCTGATTGTCACCTTCCATGTTGATGATATCTGGCCAATCTAAAGGTTCAACACCGTCTGATGATATAGTATCGGTGTCGGTGCCGGAGTCGAGATCGTCGTCTCCCAGGTAGGTGGACGCACCGTCGGTTAGGGGGTTTGCTTCACCCCACAAGGAGCGGTGTGGTTGAGGTTCTCTAGGGGGAGGGCTGGTTGCCCAGCTTGGTTGTGATCGATCCCCTGCTAGTAGGGCAGTAGACTATCCAGGATCGTCGGCCCATATGCTTGAGGGCCCGTGTCCAGGCTGGGCTTCAGTGGTTAAGGTAGTGTAGAAATTCCCACTACCAGATCCCCTTCCCCTTTCCAAACACTGATCCTACGTTGCCAGGAGATCGTTCTGACAGATGGCCTATCGAACGCATCCTCTCCAGCAACTCATCATACTGTTGTTGTGTTCGGGGCATTTGGTGGTTGAGTGGCTGTAAGAGTTGCATGGCTCGCTGGCTGCCAACGCCTAGGGCGCGGAATAGGATAGTAGTTAGCAGTTGGAAATGGAAGGTCAAATCCCACCGACTGTGCCTCAAGTCGGGTCATCTCGAATCGGGTGAGAGTGACGTCGATTCGTTCTCCGTGAAGCACATGAAAGTCGATGAGCTGTGTGCCTGAAGTGAGCTGGCGCTCATCTTCCAGGCGCTCGAACTTCATGCTTAGGAGGAACATAATGTAGGTTACTGGGTCGGTGTGGACACCATCGATGTCCGCGCCGTAGTCTATAATGTCAGGTGGTACCCTCATGCCGAGTGTCCTCGCTAGGCCACCCAGGCCGCGTTGTATGGCGGCCGCTTGGGCCTGTGGCGTCATACGTCCCCTTGTGACGTTGAGCCACGCGTTGACCTCATAAACGTACTCGCGGAAAAGGTACATTGCCTTGAGGGTCCCAGTATGGGCCATGTGTTTGCCCATCGGTGCTGTTATCTCCACGGCGCATGTGCCCGATTGCTGCCCCCAGCGCGAACCATATGATGGCGAAGATAACCAGCCCAAGGCTGTGAAGATAGGGGTGGTTATTAGGCGCGTTGCCGCGCTGGGGTAGCGCCTTGTCAAGTCTTCGAGGCGTTCTATCTTGCGGGTCTCTCCGCCCATGCTTCAAGTACTGCGTTTTTGGCTCGTTGCCGAGCGGTTGGTAGTAGCGCAATGATGAAGCGTATATGGTACCAATGTTGTTGTCTAGACGTCGTACCTCTCGTGTTGCTTCTTGCTCTTGAGTTGATCATCGTAAATGTACTGGGAGTGGTGGCGCAGGGCGGTAGTTGGTCACGAAGATCGTGCCGTATAGCGTGAGGATAGGAAAAGCAAGAGCTGACCACACGAGAGTGCGGCCAGCTCCGCTACCAAGTCTGAAATGACTATGGTAAATCAAATAGCATCCGATTCCATGGGAAGCGGATGGCAAATAGCGTCCGGTATCGTACTGAGGTTGTTCAGTAAGAGGAATGGACGGATAAGATCGGATAATATCGATGTAATGATCTTTCCAGCACATAGCGAACACTCGCAGTGTCCGGGCAAATAGGGCGCGCGTGCCTTGAGCCAGAGGCAACGGCGCGCGAGCTATACTCCCGATTCTATATAACATCTCCCAAAGAGCTACCCTTAAAGTTCCTCCTCCTGCTCCTCCTCCTCTTGATTTCCCTCCTCCTCCTCCTCCCTCCTCCTCCCTCCTCCTCCCTCCTCCTCCCTCCTCCTCCTCCTCCTCCTCCTCCTCCTCCTCGCCCTCCTCCTCCCCCGTTCACCCACCACTAGAGCCAGCAACAATGCACACAAGACGGATCCGATGTTAATCTCGCATCGCCTCCTCCTCATCATCATCATCCTCCTCCTCCTCGTCCTCCTCCTCCTGCCCTTCCCTCATCCCTTCCCCGTTCCCCCCCCCCCCCCTCCCTCCTCTGCCCGCATCGAACTGGTCTCGGGGCTGATCAAGGTTTTCCTTCAGCGTACTGTGATCCAGGCAAACGGCGCCGCCCGTCGCCGAGCGATCGCCCTACTACCAAAACTTCTCGCGCAGTCACGGCGGTCGCAGAGAGTCTCTCAGGGGAAGCAAGGAGAAGCGAGGAAACATAAGGTGCGTCGCTTGCGGACCTTCTCCTGGCTCACTTTTTCTTGCCGCCGGCGCCGCCCTCCTCCTTGCGCTCGCACGAGATGACCTTGCCAAGCATCACGACTCCGTTGCCATCCATGAACGCCACCCGAGACAGACCCTCACAGTTCTTGAAGGTGTCGCACACGAGCGGCTGCTGCGGCTGGAAGCTGCACTGAGCCATCTCATTGGACTTGAGGGAGTGGGGGTCCTCCATCTTCTTGCCGCCCGTCTCCTTTCCCATCTTCCACTTCAGCTTGCTGATGCGGCACGCCGCGCGCCCGCAGCGCACGAATCCGATCGGGGAGTACCCAACCTTGATCTCGTTGGGAATGTCGAGCACCTGAATCTGCGCGTCGAATTCCTTCGTCTGACCCAGAGTAGTGTCCTTCTTGTAGACCATCACGTCGCCCGAGCGGGGCATGTTATTCTTGTCGAGGCCCTTGATGTTGAGGCCAACGTTGTCCCCTGGGTTGGCGAAATCGACGCGCTGGTGGTGCATCTCCACAGTGAACACCTTGCCAGTGCACGGATTCGAAGCGGTGTGCGTGGGCAAGAACACGACCTCCTCGCCTGGCTTCACCACGCCCTGTTCCACGCGCCCGGCGAGCACATCGCCAACACCCTTGATCTTGTAGATGCCCGAGATCGGCATACGCATTGGTGCGCTGGTAGGCCTCTCCGGCACGCGGCACATCACGTCGAGCACATCATCCGCCACCGTGCCTTCGGCACGTTGAGGAAATTAGACTGCTTGTCTGATACAGTCGGGGCGTTGACCTAAGGAACCCTAAATAACGAACGAGGCCCCTATTTTCCATAAGTCAAACTTCGATTTCCCATGGAAAACCTACAGAAAACCCAAGGAGCACTGTAAAACAACTAAGGAACACGGAGCCCCTCCCCAACGAAAAGGGTTCATTCTTCAGGGCCCCGACTGTACGCACACCCTCTACGCACACGCGCACCCTCTACGCCCAAGCGGGATCAAACATCGTACCCCTTAATTTTGCCAATGGGCGCCCGCTTCGGCTCCCGGCCGACTCCAAGACGACCCCGAACACTGTCCCGACACAGCTGCAAAACGCCCCAGACGGCCCAACAGGCCCCCGCAGGCTGCAAGATTTCCACAAGATCCTCCAAGAGGACCCAAGAAAGGAAGCTCACAAGGAACGCCCAGAGAGGCCTCCAGCGAAGCCTTCAGAGGCGAAAGCGCTTGAAAATCAGGCTCACCGACCTTCTGAAAAGCCCCCTTTTTGGCTTCGGAGACGGCTTTGGAAGCTGCTCAGAATGCCGGAGGCCTCCTGAGCCTTCTGAGTATGCCCGCCCCCTCTGCTTTCCCCACTGGGCGCGCCGCCGAAAGACAGCCCAACGAGCCAACTTGTAAATATTCGCGATGGCGCCCGTTGCCAGCCCCACCACCCTCCCTCTTCCCCCGACCCTGGTAACATCGCGCCCTCTGGGAAATAACCACTCCTAAGCATTCCCAGACAGTGCCTGCGCAAACCGTGTCGTTACCAGCAGTCCCCCCCTTCTCCCCCCGCTGTCACGCCTTTTAGTCACGCCCTTTATCGCTAGTGGGTAAAAGCCATAGTCTCAGCAGGGATCGGCGACGGTTCCGCCGAGCCTTTTTTGAGAGCTCTGCGGAGGCATCGCGCCTGGGGACAGTCCAGAAGAAGCCTTCACAAGGTACCAAAGTGGGCACAGGAGGTCCCCAGGAGACCCCAAAGAAGCACCAAGGAGCCTCCAAGAAGCCTTCGATATATAGAGGAGGAGGAGGGGGAGGAGGAGGAGAAGTAGGAGGACGACGACGACGAGCAAAAAAAAGGAGGCGGGGGAAGGAATGAGGCTGCGGACAAGAAATGGACGTTCATGACCCACGCCAGTCCAACCAGAGCACTGAACTGAAGCGGTTGTAAAACTCAACCTCATTCCTCCTGCACTGCTGCGTTGCTGCGCTGGTACGGTAGCGGTGCTTACCGCAGGCAGCTGGATAGACAGTGTCCACGTGAATGGTCTCCTTGCCGTACTCGACGTCACAACCCTTCCACCAGCCCATGTTGTCGGACTTCTTCAGCAAGTTGTCGCCCATCCAGCCGGAGATGGGCATCACCGGCGTGCCCTTCTCAACGAAGTCCTTCTTCCAACCGACCTTGACAAGCATGCTCTTCATCTCGTTGGCGATCTCGTCGTAGCGGGACCTTAGCGAGCACAAGAAGTGACAAGGCCGCGATCTTTGTCGTCAGCAAAGCAAGAATCCAAAGGCGGAAATGCATCGGCTCCGAGAAACGATAAAATAACCGAGAACTGCTGACCGCCGCTAGGAACCTATGGCGGCCGCTCACAAGAACCAATTCATTGCGGGGGGTACTGGGGGTGGAATTTGCATCTGGGCTCTGGTAGATGATCGAGAATTGTTCGGAAACAGTCCAGGACCAGAAAAAAAGTGTGCCCCACACCATTATGCGGTTCACACATCAAGCAAGTCAGCAACCTTGCATCAACACAAATCAACAAACAAACAACTACGGCAACCAAAAGGGAACAAACACGCGTACAAACAAGCACACAACAAACACACACACACACACATACACGAAAATTGAGAATGGTGGGGGAAGTCGCCCTCTACTTTCGATCGGAAACAACTTTTGGGGGGGGAGGGGAGGGGGGAGGGGGGAAACGGCACCCGAACCATCTATGAACGGCTTAGTCGTTTCAAGAACCCACTAGAAGCGGGACTGCTTGTACCCGGCGGTGTCGCAATCCATCTTGTTCACGCCGATGCAAATTTGCTTCACGCCCAGCAGGTTGATCAGGCGGGAGTGCTGACGGGTCTGACCCTGGATCTCGCCAGCCTTGTGGTTGCCCTTGGCGATGGCAGTCGTGAAATTGCCGTCGGCTGGGACCATGATGAGCGCCACGTCGGCCTGGGAAGCGCCGGTGATCATGTTCTTGATGAAATCGCGATGGCCTGCTGGCCATCGCTCGGACGTCCATTCCCAGTGTTTTTTTTCGGTTTCGTGCGTGGTTTTTTCGCCAAATGATCAGGGATGCTCCTCGATGGTCCTCGCCGAAGGAGAAATGCACACGTCCGAGCGATGCCAAGCCTGGGGCATCGATAACGGTGTAGTGCCACTTCTCGGTGTAGAACTCCTTCGTGGTGCAGGCGATCGTCACGCCGCGCTCGCGCTCCTCCTTCTGGCGGTCCATGTAGAATGCGAAGGCGAAGGAGCCTTTGCCCAGGCGCTCGGCCTCCGCCTTCAGCTTCTCGAGCTCACGCTCGGGCAGCCCACCCAGCTCGAAGATCAAGCGGCCAGTGGTAGTACTCTTGCCACTGTCGACGTGGCCGCAGATCACGATGGACAGGTGCTCCTTCTCCGAATTGGCCGGCATGGCTGCCCTGCTCAGCTGACTCTGGAAAATCTGCAAGATCCCCCCGCAAGGTGACGCTTGAGCCCTCAGCTTTGGGTACAGTGCGGTCTCCCCCGTCAATTGTGTTTAGATGCTTCAGCTTTGACTTACTAACTGCGTCCATGTGTCACAATGTCTTTACATGTGGTCCGTTCTCGCTGCAAGAAGCGCGATGCGCGACCACCTTCGCGCCCCCGAGGGGAGAAGGGCGAAGCGAAGGAGGGAGGGAGGGAGGGAGGCGGAGAGAGGAGCGCGAAGCAGGCTGACCTTTGAACCCTCAACGCTGGCCTGAGGTGCTTTGCTCTGACCACCAGGGTGGGAAGCCCTTCAGAACTGCTAGCGATGTTAGTCACCCCCCTTCGTGCCAAGGCACTGGCGCTAGCAAGGGGCATGCTCCAAATCGAGGTCCAGCCACACCATATCAACACATTCCAAGCCACAAGAAAGCAGAGCGCCTGCATTACAGCACAGCCGTACATTCAACTAGAACCATCGCGCGCGCTTCGCGCGCGCTCAAGTCCTAGCTAGGCTTGATAGGCTAACTCATGCCATCTCATTTTGGTTACTTTTTGCGTCCAAGGACTTCCTTGGAGGCCCTGCGCAAGCCTCGGAACCGTATAGAAAGGGAAACGCTGAAACGCAGAAATCACTCATTTCCTTTATGCACTCAACGATTTGAGACCCTCAAAGGCTTCGTGGGTTCTGATTGGGGAGTTGAGGGGGGTCTGAATTGTGGTCTGTTGTGCAAGAGTAGACCGGGGGCAAAACTCGAAATTACGTTACCGAAGAACCCCACATACTTATACTATGGCTGGACTGATGATAGCTGAAATGACGCATGTGAGACTGATGTTGGTGGCCGTTGCCCCGTCGATACCGTTGTGCCCTGGACGACCGTCACGGGTAGCGGTCGCGGTGAGAGACCACCCCCTGCGCACCCCCTGTGGAGTCGAGAATATGCCATGCCTGCTGTGTCATGGACGACCGTCACGGATAGCGGCCGCGGTGAGAGGCCCCCCCCTGCGCACCCCCTATGGTGTCGAGAATATGCCATGCCTGCTGTGCCCTGGACGACCGTCACGGATAGCGGCCGCGGTGAGAGACCACCCCCTGCGCACCTCCTATGGTGTCGAGAAAGTGCCATGCCTTCTGTGACCTGGACGACCGCACGGATAGCGGCCGCGGTGAGAGATAAACCCCTTGCGCACCCCCTATGGTGTCGAGAATATGCCATGCCTGCTGTGTCATGGACGATCGTCACGGATAGCGGCCGCGGTGAGAGACCACCCCTGCGCACCACCTATGGTGTCGAGAATATGCCATGCCTGCTGTGTCATGGACGACCGTCACGGATAGCGACCGCGATGAGAGACCACCCCCTGCGCACCCCCTATGGTGTCGAGAATATGCCATGCCTGCTGTGCCATGGACGACCGTCACGGATAGCGACAGCGGTGAGAGACCAACCTCTGTGCATCCCCTTATGGTGTCCAGAATATGCCATGCCTGCTGTGCCCTGCACGACCGTCACGGATAGCGGCAGCGGTGAGAGACCAACCCCTGCGCACCCCATATTGTGTCGAGAATATGCCATGCCTGCTGTTCCATGGACGACCGTCACGGATAGTGGCCGCGGTGAAGGACCACCCCCTGCGCACCGCCATGCCCGCTGTGCCATGGACGACAGTCACGGATAGCGACAGCGGTGAGAGACCAACCCCTGTGCATCCCCTTATGGTGTCGAGAATCTGCCATGCCTGCCGTGCCCTGGACGACCGCACGGATAGCGGCCGCGGTGATAAACCACCCCCTGCACACCCCCTATGGTGTCGAGAATCTGCCATGCCTGCTGTGCCCTGCACGACCGTCACGGGTAGCGGCCGCGGTAAAAGAAGCTCTCCCTGCGCACCCCCTATGGTGTCGAGAATATGCCAAGCCGTCAGGGATAGCGGCCGCGGTGAGAGACTACCCCCTGCGACCCCCCCTATGGTGTCGAGAATATGCCAAGCCTGCTGTGCCATGGGCGACCGTCACGGATAGCGACAGCGGTGAGAGACCACCCCCTGCGCACCCCCTTTTGGTGTCGAGAATATGCCATGCCTGCTGTGCCCTGGACGACCGTCACGGATAGCGGCCGCGGTGAGAGGCCACCCCCTGCGCACCCCCTGTGGTGCCTAGAATCTGCCATGCCTGCTGTGCCCTGCACGACCGTCACGGATAGTGGCAGCGGTGAGAGACCAACCCCCTGCGCACCCCCTATGGTGTCGAGAATATGCCATGCCTGCTGTGCCCTGGACGACCGTACGGATAGCGGCCGCGGTGAGAGACCACCCCCTGTGCATCCCCTATGGTGTCCGGAATATGCCATGCCTGCTGTGCCCTGGCGACCGTCACGGATAGCGGCCGCGGTGGAGACCACCCCCTGCGCACCCCCTATGGTGTCGAGAATATGCCATGCCTGCTGTGCCATGGACGACCGTCACGGATAGCGGCAGCGGTGAGAGACCAACCCCTGTGCATCCCCTTATGGTGTCGAGAATATGCCATGCCTGCTGTGCCCTGCACGACCGTCACGGATAGCGGCCGCGGTGAAAGACCACCCCCTGCGCACCCCATATTGCGTCGAGAATCTGCCATGCCTGCTGTGCCCTGCACGACCGTCACGGATAGTGGCCGCGGTGAAGGACCACCCCCTGCGCACCGCCATGCCCGCTGTGCCATGGACGACCGTTACGGACAGCGGCCGCGATGGGAGACCACCCCCTGCGCACCCCCTATGGTGTCGAGAATATGCCATGCCTGCCGTGCCCTAGTAGCGGCCGCGGTAAGAGACCACCCCCTGCGCACTCCCTATGGTGTCGAGAATATGCCCCTGCCGTGCCCTGGACGACCGTCACGGATAGCGGCCGCGGTGAGAGACCACCCCCTGCGCACCCCATATTGTGTCGAGAATCTGCCATGCCTGCTGTGCCCTGCACGACCGTCACGGATAGTGGCCGCGGTGAAGGACCACCCCCTGCGCACCGCCATGCCCGCTGTGCCATGGACGACCGTTACGGATAGCGGCCGCGATGGGAGACCACCCCCCTGCGCACCCCCTATGGTGTCGAGAATATGCCATGCCTGCCGTGCCCTGGACGACCGCACGGGTAGCGGCCGCGGTGAGAGGCCACCCCCTGCACACCCCCTATGGTGTCGAGAATATGCCTTGCATGCTGTGTCATGGGCGACCGTCACGAAGAGCGGCCGCGGTGAGAGACCACTCCCTGCGCACCCCCTATGGTGTCGAGAATATGCCATGCCTGCCACGCTGTGCGAGCCCGCAAGGGAGGTGAGTGAGGTTCGCGGGTGAGCTGTGCTGTGCTGAGATAAGCTGTGCTGTGCTGTGCTGTGCTGTGTACGGGCTATGTGTCAATGTGCTGTGTGCTGGGCTGTGCTGTGCTGAGCTGTGCTGTGCACGTGCTATGTGTCAATGTGCTGTGTGCTGTGCTGTGCTGTGCTGAGCTGTGCTGTGTTGTGCTGTGCTGCGCTGCGCTGCGCTGCGCTGTGCTGTGTGAGAAGGAGAAGGAGGGGGAGGTGTGTGTGCGTGTGCGTGTGCGTGTGCGTGTGCGTGTGCGTGTGCGTGTGCGTGTGCGTGTGCGTGTGCGTGTGCGTGCGGGTGCGGGTGCGGGTGCGGGTGCGGCTGCGGATGCGGGTGCGGGTGCGGGTGCGGGTGCGGGTGCGGGTGCGGGTGCGGGTGCGGGTGCGTGTGCGTGTGCGTGTGCGTGTGCGTGTGCGTGTGCGTGTGCGTGTGCGTGTGCGTGTGTGCGTGTGCGTGTGCGTGCGTGTGTGCGTGTGCGTGTGCGCGTGTGCGTGTGCGTGTGCGTGTGCGTGTGCGTGTGCGTGTGCGTGTGCGTGTGCGTGTGCGTGTGCGTGTGCGTGTGCGTGTGCGTGTGCGTGTGCGGGTGCGTGTGCGTGTGCGGGTGCGTGTGCGTGTGCGTGTGCGTGTGCGTGTGCGTGTGCGTGTGCGTGTGCGTGTGCGTGTGCGTGTGCGTGTGCGTGTGCGTGTGCGTGTGTGTGTGTGTGTGTGTGTTTGTTTGTGTGCGGGAGACGCGGGTGCGACGCGGCAGGGATGAAAACCAAACTGTGCTGTGCTGTGCTATGCTGGGCTGGGCTGTGCTGTGTTGTGCTGCGCTGTGCTGTATGAGAAGGAAAAAGAAGAGGAGGGTGAGAGGGGAGACGCGGGTGCGACGCGGGAAGGAAGAAAACCCAAACCCCACTAAGCATGTGGGGAAAAAAACAGGAATTGTGGGATTTCCATGTTTTTCCAATTCCTCGGCGCTGTTCCGAACTGTTTTTTGTTTGTGCCTTGCGGGTTTTGTTAGCCGGGCTTCTCAGGGTGTGGGATCTTCCCGACCCCCTGGGGGTTCTGGAGGCCTCCTTGAGGCCAGGAGAGCCGTCGGAACGGTGTCGCGGGCTGCACGGGAGCGTGTTGGGCCGTTCTTTACGTTCTGGGGGCTCCTTGGGGTCGTCATGGGTTGTCTTTCGGCGACTTGGGGTCTCCCCCCGGGAAGCTGGAAGGCGCGGTTCCGGCCAGATGTCAGGGGATGTGTGGGACCACCGAGTAAGAGTCCCACTTTGAAAAAGAAAGGGGTGATTCTGGGAATTCCCTTTTTTCCCCACATGCTTAGTGGGGTTATGTTTTTTTGTCCATGCCTCGTCGCACCCGCGCTCAATCACCTCACTTCCCTCTTCCCCTTCTCACACAGCGCAGCACAGCACAGCACAGCACTGCTCAGCATAGCTCAGCACAGCTCAGCTCAGCAGGGCATAGCAAGCGTGGCATTTTCTCGACACCATAAGGGGGTGCGCAGGGGGTGGTCCCTCAGCGCGGCCGCTATACACGACGGTCGTCCAGTGCATAGCAGGCGTGGCATTTTCTCGACAGCGTAGGGGGTGCGCAGGGGGTGGTCCTTCACCGTGGCCGCTATACACGACGGTCGTCCAAGCATAGCAAGCGTGGCATTTTCTCGACACCGTAGGGGGTGCGCAGGGGGTGGTTCCTCAGCGCGGCC